GACCCCGTTAGTATGGACCCTGTTAGTGTGGACTCCGATAGTGTGGACCCCGTAAGTGTGGACTCCGTTAGTGTGGACTCCGTTAGTGTGGACCCTGTAAGTGTGGACACTGTTAGTGTGGTCCCTGTTAGTGTGGACTCCGTTAGTGTGGACCCTGTTAGTGTGGACCCTGTTAGTGTGGTCCCTGTTAGTGTGGACTCCGTTAGTGTGGACCCTGTTAGTGTGGACTCCGATAGTGTGGACCCCGTAAGTGTGGACTCCGTTAGTGTGGACTCCGTTAGTGTGGACCCTGTAAGTGTGGACACTGTTAGTGTGGTCCCTGTTAGTGTGGACTCCGTTAGTGTGGACCCTGTTAGTGTGGACCCTGTTAGTGTGGTCCCTGTTAGTGTGGACTCCGTTAGTGTGGACCCTGTTAGTGTGGACTCCGTTAGTGTGGACCCTGTTAGTGTGGACCCTGTTAGTGTGGACCCTGTAAGTGTGGACCCTGTAAATGTGGTCCCTGTTAGTGTGGACTCCGTTAGTGTGGACCCTGTTAGTGTGGACCCTGTTAGTGTGGTCCCTGTTAGTGTGGACTCCGTTAGTGTGGACCCTGTAAGTGTGGACTCCGTAAGTGTGGACTCCGTTAGTGTGGACCCTGTAAGTGTGGACACTGTTAGTGTGGTCCCTGTTAGTGTGGACTCCGTTAGTGTGGACCCTGTTAGTGTGGACCCTGTTAGTGTGGTCCCTGTTAGTGTGGACTCCGTTAGTGTGGACCCTGTTAGTGTGGACTCCGTTAGTGTGGACCCTGTTAGTGTGGACTCCGTTAGTGAGGACCCTGTTAGTGTGGACCCTGTAAATGTGGTCCCTGTTAGTGTGGACTCCGTTAGTGTGGACCCTGTTAGTGTGGACCCTGTTAGTGTGGTCCCTGTTAGTGTGGACTCCGTTAGTGTGGACCCTGTAAGTGTGGACTCCGTAAGTGTGGACCCTGTAAGTGTGGACCCTGTTAGTTAACAGGGTCCACACTAACAGGGTCCACACTAACGGGGTCCACACTAACAGGATCTACACTAACGGAGTCCACACTAACAGGGTCCACACTGACGGAGTCCACACAAACGGGGTCCACACTTACGGAGTCCACACTAACAGGGTCCACACTAACGGGGTCTACACTAACAGGATCCACACTAGCGGAGTCCACACTAACAGGGTCCACACTTACAGGGTCCACACTAACGGAGTCCACACTAACGGAGTCCACACTTACGGGGTCCACACTATCGGAGTCCACACGAACAGGGTCCATACTAACGGGGTCTACACTAACAGGATCCACACTAACGGAGTCCACACTTACAGGATCCACAGTAACGGAGTCCACACTAACAGGGTCCACACTAACGGAGTCCACACTAACAGGGTCCACACTAACAGGGTCCACACTAACGGAGTCCACACTAACAGGATCCACAGTAACGGAGTCCACACTAACAGGGTCCACACTAACGGAGTCCACACTAACAGGGTCCACACTAACAGGGTCCACACTTACGGAGTCCACACTAACAGGGTCCACACTAACGGGGTCTACACTAACAGGATCCACACTAGCGGAGTCCACACTAACAGGGTCCACACTTACAGGGTCCACACTAACGGAGTCCACACTAACGGAGTCCACACTTACGGGGTCCACACTATTGGAGTCCACACGAACGGGGTCCATACTAACGGGGTCTACACTAACAGGATCCACACTAACGGAGTCCACACTTACAGGATCCACAGTAACGGAGTCCACACTAACAGGGTTCACACTAACGGAGTCCACACTAACAGGGTCCACACTAACAGGGTCCACAGTAACGGAGTCCACACTAACAGGATCCACAGTAACGGAGTCCACACTAACAGGGTCCACACTAACGGAGTCCACACTAACAGGGTCCCCACTAACAGGGTCCACACTTACGGAGTCCACACTAACAGGGTCCACACTAACGGGGTCTACACTAACAGGATCCACACCAGCGGAGTCCACACTAACAGGGTCCACACTAACAGGGTCCACACTAACAGGGACCACACTAACGGAGTCCACACTAACAGGGACCACACTAACTGGGTCCACACTGACAGGGTCCACACTAACAGGGTCCACACTTACAGGACCCCGTTAGCGTGGACCCTGTTAGTGTGGACCCCGTTAGTGTGGACCCCGTTAGTGTGGACCCTGTTTGTGTGGTCCCTGTGAGTGTGGACTCCCTCAGTGTGGATCCTGTTAGTGTAGACCCCGTTAGTGTGGACCCCGTTAGTGTGGACCCTGTTAGTGTGGACTCCGATAGTGTGGATCCTGTTAGTGTAGACCCCGTTAGTTTGGACCCTGTTTGTGTGGTCCCTGTTAGTGTAGACTCCGTTAGTGTGGACCCTGTTAGTGTGGACTCCGTTAGTGTGGACCCCGTTAGTGTGGACCCCGTTAGTGAGGACCCTGTTAGTGTGGACTCCGTTAGTGTGGACCCTGTTAGTGTGGACCCTGTTAGTGTGGACTCCGTTAGTGTGGACCCAGTTAGAGTGGATCCTGTTAGTGTGGAACCCGTTAGTGTGGACCCCGTTAGTGTGGACCCCGTTAGTGTGGACTCCGTTAGTGTGGATCCTGTTAGTGTGGACTCCGTTAGTGTGGACTCCGTTAGTGTGGATCCTGTTAGTGTGGACTCCGTTAGTGTGGACCCCGTTAGTGTGGACCCCGTTAGGGTGGATCCTGTTAGTGTGGAACCCGTTAGTGTGGACCCCGTTAGTGTGGACCCCGTTAGTGTGGACTCCGTTAGTGTGGATCCTGTTAGTGTGGACTCCGTTAGTGTGGACTCCGTTAGTGTGGATCCTGTTAGTGTGGACCCCGTTAGTGTGGACCCTGTTAGTGTGGACTCCGTTAGTGCGGACCCTGTTTGTGTGGACTCCGTTACTGTGGACCCTGTTAGTGTGGACTCCGTTAGTGTGGATCCTGTTAGTGTGGACCCCGTTAGTGTGGACCCTGTAAGTGTGGACCTTGTTGGTGTGGACCCTGTTAGTTTAGACCCTGTTAGTGTGGTCCCTGTTAGTGTGGACCCCGTTAGTTTGGACCCTGTTAGTGTGGTCCCTGTTAGTTTGGACCCTGTAAGTGTGGACTCCGTTAGTGTGGATCCTGTTAGTGTGGACCCCGTTAGTTTGGACCCTGTTTGTGTGGTCCCTGTTAGTGTAGACTCCGTTAGTGTGGACCCTGTTAGTGTGGACTCCGTTAGTGTGGATCCCGTTAGTGTGGACCCCGTTAGTGTGGACTCCGTTAGTGTGGACTCCGTTAGTGTGGACCCCATTAGTGTGGACTCCGTTAGTGTGGATCCTGTTAGTGTAGACCCCGTTAGTATGGACCCTGTTAGTGTGGACTCCGATAGTGTGGACCCCGTAAGTGTGGACTCCGTTAGTGTGGACTCCGTTAGTGTGGACCCTGTAAGTGTGGACACTGTTAGTGTGGTCCCTGTTAGTGTGGACTCCGTTAGTGTGGACCCTGTTAGTGTGGACCCTGTTAGTGTGGTCCCTGTTAGTGTGGACTCCGTTAGTGTGGACCCTGTTAGTGTGGACTCCGTTAGTGTGGACCCTGTTAGTGTGGACCCTGTTAGTGTGGACCCTGTAAGTGTGGTCCCTGTAAATGTGGTCCCTGTTAGTGTGGACTCCGTTAGTGTGGACCCTGTTAGTGTGGACCCTGTTAGTGTGGTCCCTGTTAGTGTGGACTCCGTTAGTGTGGTCCCTGTTAGTGTGGACCCTGTTAGTGTGGACCCTGTTAGTGTGGACTCCGTTAGTGTGGACCCTGTTAGTGTGGACCCTGTTAGTGTGGACCCTGTTAGTGTGGACTCCGTTAGTGTGGACCCTGTTAGTGTGGACTCCGTTACTGTGGATCCTGTAAGTGTGGACTCCGTTAGTGTGGATCCTGTTAGTGTAGACCCCGTTAGTATGGACCCTGTTCGTGTGGACTCCGATAGTGTGGACCCCGTAAGTGTGGACTCCGTTTGTGTGGACTCCGTTAGTGTGGACCCTGTAAGTGTGGACCCTGTTAGTGTGGACTCCGCTAGTGTGGATCCTGTTAGTGTAGACCCCGTTAGTTTGGACCCTGTTAGTGTGGACTCCGTAAGTGTGGACCCCGTTTGTGTGGACTCCGTCAGTGTGGACCCTGTTAGTGTGGACTCCGTTAGTGTAGATCCTGTTAGTGTGGACCCCGTTAGTGTGGACCCTGTTAGTGTGGACCCTGTTGGTGTGGACCCTGTTAGTTTGGACCCTGTTAGTGTGTTCCCTGTTAGTGTGGACCCCGTTAGTGTGGACCCCGTTAGTGTGGACTCCGTTAGTGTGGACCCTGTAAGTGTGGACTCCGTTAGTGTGGATCCTGTTAGTGTGGACCCCGTTAGTGTGGACCCTGTTTGTGTGGTCCCTGTTAGTGTAGACTCCGTTAGTGTGGACCCCGTTAGTGTGGACCCCGTTAGTGTGGATCCTGTTAGTGTGGACCCCGTTAGTGTGGACCCCGTTAGTGTGGACCCCGTTAGTGTGGACTCCGTTAGTGTGGACCCCGTTAGTGTGGACCCTGTTAGTGAGGACTCCGTTAGTGTGGACCCTGTTAGTGTGGAGCTCGTAAGTGTGGACCTCGTTAGTCTGGACCCTGTAAGTGAGGACTCCGTTAGTGTGGATCCCGTTAGTGTGGACCCCTTTAGTGTGGATCCCGTTAGTGTGGACCTCGTTAGTGTTGATCCTGTTAGTGTAGACCCCGTTAGTGTGGATCCTGTTAGTGTGGGCTCTGTTAGTGTGGACCCCGTTAGCGTGGACCCTGTTAGTGTGGACCCCGTTAGTGTGGACCCCGTTAGTGTGGACCATGTTTGTGTGGTCCCTGTGAGTGTGGACTCCCTCAGTGTGGATCCTGTTAGTGTAGACCCCGTTAGTGTGGACCCCGTTAGTGTGGACCCTGTTAGTGTGGACTCCGTTAGTGTGGATCCTGTTAGTGTAGACCCCGTTAGTGTGGACCCCGTTAGTGTGGACCCTGTTAGTGTGGACTCCGTTAGTGTGGACCCCGTTAGTGTGGACCCTGTTAGTGTGGTCCCTGTTAGTGTGGACTCCGTTAGTGTGGACTCCGTTAGTGTTGATCCTGTTAGTGTAGACCCCGTTTTTGTGGACCCTGTTAGTGTGGACTCCCTCAGTGTGGACCCCGTTAGTGTGGACTCCGTTAGTGTGGACCCCGTAAGTGTGGACTCCGTTAGTGTGGACCCTGTTAGTGTGGACCCTGTTAGTGTGGACCCTGTTAGTGTGGACTCCGTTAGTGTGGACCCTGTTAGTGTGGACTCCGTTAGTGTGGACCCAGTTAGTGTGGACTCCGTTAGTGTGGACCCAGTTAGTGTGGACTCCGTTAGTGTGGATCCTGTTAGTTTGGACCCCGTTAGTGTGGACCCCGTAAGTGTGGACTCCGTTAGTGTGGACCCTGTTTGTGTGGTCCCTGTGAGTGTGGACTCCGTTAGTGTGGATCCTGTTAGTGTGGACTCCGTTAGTGTAGACTCCGTAAGTGTGGACCCCGTTAGTGTGGACCCCGTTAGTTTGGACCCTGTTTTTGTGGTCCCTGTTAGTGTAGACTCCGTTAGTGTGGACCCTGTTAGTGTGGACTCCGTTAGTGTGGATCCCGTTAGTGTGGACCCCGTTAGTGTGGACTCCGTTAGTGTGGACTCCGTTAGTGTGGACCCCATTAGTGTGGACTCCGTTAGTGTGGATCCTGTTAGTGTAGACCCCGTTAGTATGTACCCTGTTAGTGTGGACTCCGATAGTGTGGACCCCGTAAGTGTGGACTCCGTTAGTGTGGACTCCGTTAGTGTGGACCCTGTAAGTGTGGACACTGTTAGTGTGGTCCCTGTTAGTGTGGACTCCGTTAGTGTGGACCCTGTTAGTGTGGACCCTGTTAGTGTGGTCCCTGTTAGTGTGGACTCCGTTAGTGTGGACCCTGTTAGTGTGGACTCCGTTAGTGTGGACCCTGTTAGTGTGGACCCTGTTAGTGTGGACCCTGTAAGTGTGGACCCTGTAAATGTGGTCCCTGTTAGTGTGGACTCCGTTAGTGTGGACCCTGTTAGTGTGGACCCTGTTAGTGTGGTCCCTGTTAGTGTGGACTCCGTTAGTGTGGTCCCTGTTAGTGTGGACCCTGTTAGTGTGGACCCTGTTAGTGTGGACTCCGTTAGTGTGGACCCTGTTAGTGTGGACCCTGTTAGTGTGGACCCTGTTAGTGTGGACTCCGTTAGTGTGGACCCTGTTAGTGTGGACTCCGTTACTGTGGATCCTGTAAGTGTGGACTCCGTTAGTGTGGATCCTGTTAGTGTAGACCCCGTTAGTATGGACCCTGTTCGTGTGGACTCCGATAGTGTGGACCCCGTAAGTGTGGACTCCGTTTGTGTGGACTCCGTTAGTGTGGACCCTGTAAGTGTGGACCCTGTTAGTGTGGACTCCGCTAGTGTGGATCCTGTTAGTGTAGACCCCGTTAGTTTGGACCCTGTTAGTGTGGACTCCGTAAGTGTGGACCCCGTTTGTGTGGACTCCGTCAGTGTGGACCCTGTTAGTGTGGACTCCGTTAGTGTAGATCCTGTTAGTGTGGACCCCGTTAGTGTGGACCCTGTTAGTGTGGACCCTGTTGGTGTGGACCCTGTTAGTTTGGACCCTGTTAGTGTGTTCCCTGTTAGTGTGGACCCCGTTAGTGTGGACCCCGTTAGTGTGGACTCCGTTAGTGTGGACCTTGTAAGTGTGGACTCCGTTAGTGTGGATCCTGTTAGTGTGGACCCCGTTAGTGTGGACCCTGTTTGTGTGGTCCCTGTTAGTGTAGACTCCGTTAGTGTGGACCCCGTTAGTGTGGACCCCGTTAGTGTGGATCCTGTTAGTGTGGACCCCGTTAGTGTGGACCCCGTTAGTGTGGACCCCGTTAGTGTTCACTCCGTTAGTGTGGACCCCGTTAGTGTGGACCCTGTTAGTGAGGACTCCGTTAGTGTGGACCCTGTTAGTGTGGAGCTCGTAAGTGTGGACCTCGTTAGTCTGGACCCTGTAAGTGAGGACTCCGTTAGTGTGGATCCCGTTAGTGTGGACCCCTTTAGTGTGGATCCCGTTAGTGTGGACCTCGTTAGTGTTGATCCTGTTAGTGTAGACCCCGTTAGTGTGGATCCTGTTAGTGTGGGCTCTGTTAGTGTGGACCCCGTTAGCGTGGACCCTGTTAGTGTGGACCCCGTTAGTGTGGACCCCGTTAGTGTGGACCATGTTTGTGTGGTCCCTGTGAGTGTGGACTCCCTCAGTGTGGATCCTGTTAGTGTAGACCCCGTTAGTGTGGACCCCGTTAGTGTGGACCCTGTTAGTGTGGACTCCGTTAGTGTGGATCCTGTTAGTGTAGACCCCGTTAGTGTGGACCCCGTTAGTGTGGACCCTGTTAGTGTGGACTCCGTTAGTGTGGAACCCGTTAGTGTGGACCCTGTTAGTGTGGTCCCTGTTAGTGTGGACTCCGTTAGTGTGGACTCCGTTAGTGTTGATCCTGTTAGTGTAGACCCCGTTTTTGTGGACCCTGTTAGTGTGGACTCCCTCAGTGTGGACCCCGTTAGTGTGGACTCCGTTAGTGTGGACCCCGTAAGTGTGGACTCCGTTAGTGTGGACCCTGTTAGTGTGGACCCTGTTAGTGTGGACCCTGTTAGTGTGGACTCCGTTAGTGTGGACCCTGTTAGTGTGGACTCCGTTAGTGTGGACCCAGTTAGTGTGGACTCCGTTAGTGTGGACCCAGTTAGTGTGGACTCCGTTAGTGTGGATCCTGTTAGTTTGGACCCCGTTAGTGTGGACCCCGTAAGTGTGGACTCCGTTAGTGTGGACCCTGTTTGTGTGGTCCCTGTGAGTGTGGACTCCGTTAGTGTGGATCCTGTTAGTGTGGACTCCGTTAGTGTAGACTCCGTAAGTGTGGATCCTGTTAGTGTGGACCCCGTTAGTGTGGACCCTGTTAGTGTGGTATCCGTTAGTGCGGACCCTGTTTGTGTGGACTCCGTTACTGTGGACCCTGTTAGTGTGGACTCCGTTAGTGTGGATCCTGTTAGTGTGGACCCCGTTAGTGTGGACCCTGTAAGTGTGGACCTTGTTGGTGTGGACCCTGTTAGTTTGGACCCTGTTAGTGTGGTCCCTGTTAGTGTGGACCCCGTTAGTGTTGACCCCGTTAGTGTGGACTCCGTTAGTGTGGACCCTGTAAGTGTGGACTCCGTTAGTGTGGACCCTGTTAGTGTGGACCCTGTTAGTGTGGACCCTGTTAGTGTGGACCCTGTAAGTGTGGACCCTGTAAATGTGGTCCCTGTTAGTGTGGACTCCGTTAGTGTGGACCCTGTTAGTGTGGACCCTGTTAGTGTGGTCCCTGTTAGTGTGGACTCCGTTAGTGTGGTCCCTGTTAGTGTGGACCCTGTTAGTGTGGACTCCGTTAGTGTGGACCCTGTTAGTGTGGACCCTGTTAGTGTGGACCCTGTTAGTGTGGACTCCGTTAGTGTGGACCCTGTTAGTGTGGACTCCGTTAGTATGGACCCTGTTCGTGTGGACTCCGATAGTGTGGACCCCGTAAGTGTGGACTCCGTTTGTGTGGACTCCGTTAGTGTGGACCCTGTAAGTGTGGACCCTGTTAGTGTGGACTCCGCTAGTGTGGATCCTGTTAGTGTAGACCCCGTTAGTTTGGACCCTGTTAGTGTGGACTCCGTAAGTGTGGACCCCGTTTGTGTGGACTCCGTCAGTGTGGACCCTGTTAGTGTGGACTCCGTTAGTGTAGATCCTGTTAGTGTGGACCCCGTTAGTGTGGACCCTGTTAGTGTGGACCCTGTTGGTGTGGACCCTGTTAGTTTGGACCCTGTTAGTGTGTTCCCTGTTAGTGTGGACCCCGTTAGTGTGGACCCCGTTAGTGTGGACTCCGTTAGTGTGGACCCTGTAAGTGTGGACTCCGTTAGTGTGGATCCTGTTAGTGTGGACCCCGTTAGTGTGGACCCTGTTTGTGTGGTCCCTGTTAGTGTAGACTCCGTTAGTGTGGACCCCGTTAGTGTGGACCCCGTTAGTGTGGATCCTGTTAGTGTGGACCTAGTTAGTGTGGACCCCGTTAGTGTGGACCCCGTTAGTGTGGACTCCGTTAGTGTGGACCCCGTTAGTGTGGACCCTGTTAGTGTGGACTCCGTTAGTGTGGACCCTGTTAGTGTGGAGCTCGTAAGTGTGGACCTCGTTAGTCTGGACCCTGTAAGTGTGGACTCCGTTAGTGTGGATCCCGTTAGTGTGGACCCCTTTAGTGTGGATCCCGTTAGTGTGGACCTCGTTAGTGTTGATCCTGTTAGTGTAGACCCCGTTAGTGTGGATCCTGTTAGTGTGGGCTCTGTTAGTGTGGACCCCGTTAGCGTGGACCCTGTTAGTGTGGACCCCGTTAGTGTGGACCCCGTTAGTGTGGACCATGTTTGTGTGGTCCCTGTGAGTGTGGACTCCCTCAGTGTGGATCCTGTTAGTGTAGACCCCGTTAGTGTGGACCCCGTTAGTGTGGACCCTGTTAGTGTGGACTCCGTTAGTGTGGATCCTGTTAGTGTAGACCCCGTTAGTGTGGACCCCGTTAGTGTGGACCCTGTTAGTGTGGACTCCGTTAGTGTGGACCCCGTTAGTGTGGACCCTGTTAGTGTGGTCCCTGTTAGTGTGGACTCCGTTAGTGTGGACTCCGTTAGTGTTGATCCTGTTAGTGTAGACCCCGTTTTTGTGGACCCTGTTAGTGTGGACTCCCTCAGTGTGGACCCCGTTAGTGTGGACTCCGTTAGTGTGGACCCCGTAAGTGTGGACTCCGTTAGTGTGGACCCTGTTAGTGTGGACCCTGTTAGTGTGGACCCTGTTAGTGTGGACTCCGTTAGTGTGGACCCTGTTAGTGTGGACTCCGTTAGTGTGGACCCAGTTAGTGTGGACTCCGTTAGTGTGGACCCAGTTAGTGTGGACTCCGTTAGTGTGGACCCCGTAAGTGTGGACTCCGTTAGTGTGGACTCCGTTAGTGTGGACCCTGTTTGTGTGGTCCCTGTGAGTGTGGACTCCGTTAGTGTGGATCCTGTTAGTGTGGACTCCGTTAGTGTAGACTCCGTAAGTGTGGATCCTGTTAGTGTGGACCCCGTTAGTGTGGACCCTGTTAGTGTGGTATCCGTTAGTGCGGACCCTGTTTGTGTGGACTCCGTTACTGTGGACCCTGTTAGTGTGGACTCCGTTAGTGTGGATCCTGTTAGTGTGGACCCCGTTAGTGTGGACCCTGTAAGTGTGGACCTTGTTGGTGTGGACCCTGTTAGTTTGGACCCTGTTAGTGTGGTCCCTGTTAGTGTGGACCCCGTTAGTGTGGACCCCGTTAGTGTGGACTCCGTTAGTGTGGACCCTGTAAGTGTGGACTCCGTTAGTGTGGATCCTGTTAGTGTGGACCCCGTTAGTGTGGACCCTGTTAGTGTGGTCCCTGTTAGTGTGGACTCCGTTAGTGTGGACTCCGTTAGTGTTGATCCTGTTAGTGTAGACCCCGTTTGTGTGGACCCTGTTAGTGTGGACTCCGTTAGTGTGGACCCCGTAAGTGTGGACTCCGTTAGTGTGGACCCTGTTAGTGTGGACCCTGTTAGTGTGGACCCTGTTAGTGTGGACCCTGTTAGTGGGGACCCTGTTAGTGGGGACTCCGTTAGTGTGGACCCTGTTAGTGTGGACCCTGTTAGTGTGGACTCCGTTAGTGTGGACCCAGTTATTGTGGACTCCGTTAGTGTGGATCCTGTTAGTGTGGATCCCGTTAGTGTGGACCCCGTTAGTGTGGACTCCGTTAGTGTGGACCCTGTTTGTGTGGTCCCTGTGAGTGTGGACTCCGTTAGTGTGGATCCTGTTAGTGTGGACTCCGTTAGTGTGGACCCCGTTAGTGTGGACCCCGTTAGGGTGGATCCTGTTAGTGTGGACCCCGTTAGTGTGGACCCCGTTAGTGTGGACTCCCTTAGTGTGGATCCTGTTAGTGTGGACCCCGTTAGTGTGGACCCTGTTAGTGTGGTATCCGTTAGTGCGGACCCTGTTTGTGTGGACTCCGTTACTGTGGACCCTGTTAGTGTGGACTCCGTTAGTGTGGATCCTGTTAGTGTGGACCCCGTTAGTGTGGACCCTGTAAGTGTGGACCTTGTTGGTGTGGACCCTGTTAGTTTGGACCCTGTTAGTGTGGTCCCAGTTAGTGTGGACCCCGTTAGTGTGGACCCCGTTAGTGTGAACTCCGTTAGTGTGGACCCTGTAAGTGTGGACTCCGTTAGTGTGGATCCTGTTAGTGTGGACCCCGTTAGTTTGGACCCTGTTTGTGTGGTCCCTGTTAGTGTAGACTCCGTTAGTGTGGACCCCGTTAGTGTGGACCCCGTTAGTGTGGATCCAGTTAGTGTGGACCCCGTTAGTGTGGACCCCGTTAGTTTGGACCCTGTTAGTGTGGTCCCTGTTAGTGTGGACTCCGTTAGTGTGGACTCCGTTAGTGTGGATCCTGTTAGTGTAGACCCCGTTAGTGTGGACCCTGTTAGTGTGGACTCCGTTAGTGTGGACCCTGTAAGTGTGGACCCTGTTGGTGTGGACCCTGTTAGTTTGGACCCTGTTAGTGTGGTCCCTGTTAGTGTGGACCCCGTTAGTGTGGACTCAGTTAGTGTGGACCCTGTTAGTGTGGACTCCGTTAGTGTGGATCCTGTTAGTGTGGATCCCGTTAGTGTGGACCCTGTTAGTGTGGACTCCGTTAGTGTGGACCCTGTTAGTGTTGACTCCGTTAGTGTGGACCCCGTTTGTGTGGACTCCGTTAGTGTGGACCCTGTTAGTGTGGACCCTGTTGGTGTGGACCCTGTTAGTTTTGACCCTGTTAGTATGGTCCCTGTTAGTGTGGACCCCGTTAGTGTGGACCCCGATAGTGTGGACCCCGTTAGTGTGGACCCTGTTAGTGTGGTCCCTGTTAGTGTGGACCCCGTTAGTGTGGATTCCGTTAGTGTGGATCCCGTTAGTGTCGACCCCGTTAGTGTGGACCCTGTTAGTGTGGACTCCGTTAGTGTGGACCCCGTTAGTGTGGACCCCGTTAGTGTGGACCCCGTTAGTGTGGATCCTGTTCGTGTGGACCCCGTTAGTGTGGACCCCGTTAGTCTGGACCCCGTTAGTGTGGACTCCGTTAGTGTGGACCCCGTTAGTGTGGACCCTGTTAGTGTGGACTCCGTTAGTGTGGACCCTGTTAGTGTGGAGCTCGTAAGTGTGGACCTCGTTAGTCTGGACCCTGTAAGTGTGGACTCCGTTAGTGTGGATCCCGTTAGTGTGGACCCCTTTAGTGTGGATCCCGTTAGTGTGGACCTCGTTAGTGTTGATCCTGTTAGTGTAGACCACGTTAGTGTGGATCCTGTTAGTGTGGGCTCTGTTAGTGTGGACCCCGTTAGCGTGGACCCTGTTAGTGTGGACCCCGTTAGTGTGGACCCCGTTAGTGTGGACCCTGTTTGTGTGGTCCCTGTGAGTGTGGACTCCCTCAGTGTGGATCCTGTTAGTGTAGACCCCGTTAGTGTGGACCCCGTTAGTGTGGACCCTGTTAGTGTGGACTCCGTTAGTGTGGATCCTGTTAGTGTAGACCCCGTTAGTGTGGACCCCGTTAGTGTGGACCCTGTTAGTGTGGACTCCGTTAGTGTGGACCCCGTTAGTGTGGACCCTGTTAGTGTGGTCCCTGTTAGTGTGGACTCCGTTAGTGTGGACTCCGTTAGTGTTGATCCTGTTAGTGTAAACCCCGTTTTTGTGGACCCTGTTAGTGTGGACTCCCTCAGTGTGGACCCCGTTAGTGTGGACTCCGTTAGTGTGGACCCCGTAAGTGTGGACTCCGTTAGTGTGGACCCTGTTAGTGTGGACCCTGTTAGTGTGGACCCTGTTAGTGTGGACTCCGTTAGTGTGGACCCTGTTAGTGTGGACTCCGTTAGTGTGGACCCTGTTAGTGTGGACTCCGTTAGTGTGGACCCAGTTAGTGTGGACTCCGTTAGTGTGGATCCTGTTAGTTTGGACCCCGTTAGTGTGGACCCCGTAAGTGTGGACTCCGTTAGTGTGGACCCTGTTTGTGTGGTCCCTGTGAGTGTGGACTCCGTTAGTGTGGATCCTGTTAGTGTGGACCCCGTTAGTGTGGACTCCGTTAGTGTGGATCCTGTTAGTGTGGACCCCGTTAGTGTGGACCCTGTTAGTGTGGTATCCGTTAGTGCGGACCCTGTTTGTGTGGACTCCGTTACTGTGGACCCTGTTAGTGTGGACTCCGTTAGTGTGGATCCTGTTAGTGTGGACCCCGTTAGTGTGGACCCTGTAAGTGTGGACCTTGTTGGTGTGGACCCTGTTAGTTTGGACCCTGTTAGTGTGGTCCCTGTCAGTGTGGACCCCGTTAGTGTGGACCCCGTTAGTGTGGACTCCGTTAGTGTGGACCCTGTAAGTGTGGACTCCGTTAGTGTGGATCCTGTTAGTGTGGACCCCGTTAGTGTGGACCCTGTTAGTGTGGTCCCTGTTAGTGTGGACTCCGTTAGTGTGGACTCCGTTAGTGTTGATCCTGTTAGTGTAGACCCCGTTTGTGTGGACCCTGTTAGTGTGGACTCCGTTAGTGTGGACCCCGTTAGTGTGGACTCCGTTAGTGTGGACCCCGTAAGTGTGGACTCCGTTAGTGTGGACCCTGTTAGTGTGGACCCTGTTAGTGTGGACCCTGTTAGTGTGGACCCTGTTAGTGGGGACCCTGTTAGTGTGGACTCCGTTAGTGTGGACCCTGTTAGTGTGGACCCTGTTAGTGTGGACTCCGTTAGTGTGGACCCAGTTATTGTGGACTCCGTTAGTGTGGATCCTGTTAGTGTGGACCCCGTTAGTGTGGACCCCGTTAGTGTGGACTCCGTTAGTGTGGACCCTGTTTGTGTGGTCCCTGTGAGTGTGGACTCCGTTAGTGTGCATCCTGTTAGTGTGGACTCCGTTAGTGTGGACCCCGTTAGTGTGGACCCCGTTAGGGTGGATCCTGTTAGTGTGGACCCCGTTAGTGGGGACCCCGTTAGTGTGGACTCCCTTAGTGTGGATCCTGTTAGTGTGGACTCCGTTAGTGTGGACTCCGTTAGTGTGGATCCTGTTAGTGTGGACCTCGTTAGTGTGGACCCTGTTAGTGTGGTATCCGTTAGTGCGGACCCTGTTTGTGTGGACTCCGTTACTGTGGACCCTGTTAGTGTGGACTCCGTTAGTGTGGATCCTGTTAGTGTGGACCCCGTTAGTGTGGACCCTGTAAGTGTGGACCTTGTTGGTGTGGACCCTGTTAGTTTGGACCCTGTTAGTGTGGTCCCAGTTAGTGTGGACCCCGTTAGTGTGGACCCCGTTAGTGTGAACTCCGTTAGTGTGGACCCTGTAAGTGTGGACTCCGTTAGTGTGGATCCTGTTAGTGTGGACCCCGTTAGTTTGGACCCTGTTAGTGTGGACCCCGTTAGTGTGGACCCCGTTAGTGCGGACTCCGTTAGTGTGGACCCTGTAAGTGTGGACTCCGTTAGTGTGGATCCTGTTAGTGTGGACCCCGTTAGTTTGGACCCTGTTTGTGTGGTCCCTGTTAGTGTAGACTCCGTTAGTGTGGACCCCGTTAGTGTGGACCCCGTTAGTGTGGATCCAGTTAGTGTGGACCCCGTTAGTGTGGACCCCGTTAGTGTGGACCCCGTTAGTGTGGACTCCGTTAGTGTGGATCCTGTTAGTGTGGACTCCGTTAGTTTGGACTCCATTAGTGTGGATCCTGTTAGTGTGGACCCCGTTAGTGTGGATCCTGTTAGTGTGTACTCCGTTAGTGTGGACCCCGTTAGTGTGGACCCTGTTAGTGTGGTCCCTGTTAGTGTGGACTCCGTTAGTGTGGACTCCGTTAGTGTGGATCCTGTTAGTGTAGACCCCGTTAGTGTGGACCCTGTTAGTGTGGACTCCGTTAGTGTGGACCCTGTAAGTGTGGACCCTGTTGGTGTGGACCCTGTTAGTTTGGACCCTGTTAGTGTGGTCCCTGTTAGTGTGGAACCCGTTAGTGTGGACCCTGTTAGTGTGGACTCCGTTAGTGTGGACCCTGTTAGTGTTGACTCCGTTAGTGTGGACCCCGTTTGTGTGGACTCCGTTAGTGTGGACCCTGTTAGTGTGGACCCTGTTGGTGTGGACCCTGTTAGTTTTGACCCTGTTAGTATGGTCCCTGTTAGTGTGGACCCCGTTAGTGTGGACCCCGATAGTGTGGACCCCGTTAGTGTGGACCCTGTTAGTGTGGTCCCTGTTAGTGTGGACCCCGTTAGTGTGGATTCCGTTAGTGTGGATCCCGTTAGTGTCGACCCCGTTAGTGTGGACCCTGTTAGTGTGGACTCCGTTAGTGTGGATCCTGTTAGTGTGGACCCCGTTAGTGTGGATCATGTTAGTGTGGACTCCGTTAGTGTGGACCCTGTTAGTGTGGACTCCGTTAGTGTGGACCCCGTTAGTGTGGATCCTGTTAGTGTGGACTCCGTTAGTGTGGACCCTGTTAGTGTGGACTCCGTTAGTGTGGACCCCGTTAGTGTGGAGCTCGTTAGTGTGGACCTCGTTAGTGTGGACCCTGTTAGTATGGACTCCGTTAGTGTGGATCCCGTTGGTGTGGACCCCTTTAGTGTGGATCCCGTCAGTGAGGACCCCGTTAGTGTGGACCCTGTTAGTCTGGACCCTGTACAACAAGACCCAGTTCTTGCTGACGGCGTGACACCAGACCCTGATGGTGTGGAGCCCGTCATGTCGTGTCGTTTTCATGATTCATATATCTGGAAATACACTGAAAGGCAAAAGAAACGTCACTTCTGAAAATACTGATAAAACTTAACAGACACTGGCAGTCACATGTTCTGTGGTCAATAAACTCATTTATCGTTCTACTGCTTCTTTTTGTTGCCTTAAAGTCCATTTAACAATTGAGTTTAAAATGGAGTGCTTTGTCCAAACGCAGCCTTCAAAAGTGCAATGGGACTCAGTTGCGGAAAAGTCTTGTCAAAAACATGATGCACGTGCATATCGTGGAAGGTATGGGTATAAAAGACCCCCAAAACTGTTAAGCTGGCTTTCGTTATTTCGATTCATCAGTCATGCCAAGATTATCAGGAAATGAGAGACAACATGCGATCGGAAGACTGCAAGCAGGCCAGAGTGCACAGGTCGTTGCAAATGCATTCAATGTCAACGTCAGAACGATATATCGTTTGCAACATCTCCACAACACCACCAACACCACCGTAGTGGTCGTCCTTGAGTCACTACTCCCAGACAAGATCGGTTCATGATACGCCAACATCTACAGAACCGATTCCGAAATCTGAATGGCCACTGAAACAGCTTGGCAAACCATTGGCAACCACCAGCGTGCCATCAGTGATCGTACAGTCCGACGTCGCCTAACTGTCTACAACATCTCGTGCAACCGTCCTGCTCGTGTACCCATCCTGAGAGATCGTCACCGACAGGCCCGACTGCAATGGGCCAGGCAGCATCAAAATTGGCGTCAACAGCAATGGAGAAGAATCATCTTAACTGATGAAAGTCGCTACTGTGTTTCAACGGTTAATGTTAGAGTCATGGTCTGGCGAAGGAGGGGCGAACGTTATGCTGATGCTTGCGTTATGGAACGAGACCCGTGGGGCGGCCCAAGCTTCATGGTTTGGGGTGGAATCGGACTGAACCAGTGAGTGGGACCCGTGGTCTTTCAGAATATTGGTCCAGGCAGGGGTAATGGCATCACAGCTCTCCGCTACATTGACCAAGTCCTCAGACCCCATATCGTGCCTTTTTTGCTCGTCATCAAAACCACACCTTTCAGGAAGACAACGCCCGTCCCAACTCTGCCAGAATCACCAGGGACTTCCTCCAGCAGCACAACATCCAAATCATGCCTTGGCCTGCCCTCAGTCCGGATTTGAATCCCATTGAACACTTTTGGGATGAGATCCAACGCCGACTCAACGACGTACGCCCAAGGCCGACAACTGCAGCAGAACTGCGTTTAGCGTTCCTGAGGATAGGGGCCCATATACCAATGGCCTTCATCAACAGGCTAGTCCACTCCATGTACAGGAGATGTGTGGCTGTAGTCAACGCCCGTGGTGGCCACACCAGGTACTCATTTTTACCCCCCCCCCAGCTGTAATGTCTTCTGGTGCCTCCCCAAATTCACAATTCGCAAACACATTCCCCAGACTGTTCATTTCATGTGGGTCAAACACTGACTTTCTCCGATGTCTTTTCTTACATATATAAGCATTTGAAAATAAAGATATTTACATGATACATCCACATGACGTTTCTTTTGTCTTTCAGTGTATGAATTCGGATGGGTTTCACTCGGAACGGAACCGGAATAACGGAGTCACACCCAACTCACTTTCTCACGCATTCCCTTGCTGTGAGGTAGCTGGCATATTTCTACAGGCGGCGTAAAACGTAGTTCACTCACTCATACATGCACGTTAAAGAGGCATGAGAGCCATACCAGAGAGGCATGAAAGCCATACCAGAAAGGTATGAGAGCCATACCAAAGAGGCATGAGAGCCATGCCAGAGAGGCATGAGAGCCATACCAGAGAGGCATGAGAGCCATGCCAGAAAGGTATGAGAGCCATACCAAAGAGGCATGAGAGCCATACCAGAGAGGCATGAGAGCCATACCAAAGAGACATGAGCGCCATACCAGAGAGGCATGAGAGACATACTAGAGAGGCATGAGAGCCATACCAAAGAGACATGAGAGCCATACCAGAGAGGCATGAGAGCCATACTAGAGAGGCATGAGAGCCATACCAAAGAGACATGAGAGCCATACCAGACAGGTAGGAGAGCCATACCAAAGAGACATGAGAGCCATACCAGAGAGGTATGAGAGCCATGCCAGAAAGGTATGAGAGCCATACCAAAGAGGCATGAGAGCCATACCAAAGAGGCATGAGAGCCATACTAGAGAGGCATGAGAGCCATGCCAGAAAGGTAGGAGAGCCATACCAAAGAGGCATGAGAGCCATACCAGAGAGGCATGAGAGCCATACCAAAGAGACATGAGAGCCATACCAGAGAGGCATGAGAGCCATACTAGAGAGGCATGAGAGCCATACCAAAGAGACATGAGAGCCATACCAGACAGGTAGGAGAGCCATACCAAAGAGACATGAGATCCATACCAGAGAGGTAGGAGAGCCATGCCAGAAAGGTATGAGAGCCATACCAAAGAGGCATGAGAGCCATACCAAAGAGGCATGAGAGCCATACTAGAGAGGCATGAGAGCCATACCAAAGAGGCATGAGAGCCATACCAAAGAGGCATAAGAGCCATACCAAAGAGACATGAGAGCCATACTAGAGAGACATGAGAGCCATACTAGAGAGACATGAGAGCCATACTAGAGAGACATGAGAGTCATACTAGAGAGACATGAGAGCCATACCAGAAAGGTATGAGAGCCATACTAGAGAGACATGAGAGCCATACTAGAGAGACATGAGAGCCATACTAGAGAGACATGAGAGTCATACTAGAGAGACATGAGAGCCATACCAGAAAGGTATGAGAGCCATACCAGAAAGGTATGAGAGCCATACTAGAGAGACATGAGAGCCATACTAGAGAGACATGAGAGTCATACTAGAGAGACATGAGAGCCATACTAGAGAGACATGAGAGCCATACGAGAAAGGTATGAGAGCCATACCAGAAAGGTATGAGACCCATACTAGAGAGACATGAGAGCCATACTAGAGAGACATAAGAGCCATACCAGAAAGGTATGAGAGCCATACCAAAGAGGCATGAGAGCCATACCAGAAAGACATGAGAGCCATACCAGAAAGGTATGAGAGCCATACCAGAAAGGTATGAGAGCCATACCAAAGAGGCATGAGAGCCATACTAGAGAGACATGAGAGCTATACCAGAGAGGCATGAGAGCGGGAATGTATTTCGAACATTCTTATCGACTTCGATCTACCATTGACTGTAACTTAAAATTTATAAAACCATTAAGATCTCTGAACCTTAAAGTGTATTCAAAGCCTAATTGAATTTGTCGCGGTTTCTTTGTTGTTTACCTTTTACACGCAAACCCTTCTAACCGTATCTGAGAAAGTGCTTTCATGAGCGGGATGTAGTAGAAATCCATACATTCATTCAATTTCAATGGTTTTGAAAGTATTTAGCTATTCAAACTTGAGTCGTTCTAACACCGTATCGTTTACACAGTTAAATATTTATATAACGAGCAAGGCCACAACGTTTTAGATTGTAAAATTGATCCTGGGATTTAGAATTAATATTCTACACCGAACTAATCATACGTCTATTTGTTCTGCTTGGAAGCTAAGGATAACAAAAGCAAACATGTTCAGATATCCTTCGCATACTTATGACCGCCCTGTGTGTGAGACGAACATTGTCGTTAGAATTCAGGTCTTCATCGGAATATTGAGTGGAATTGATCTGTAGTATTGCTGACTGTCGTTAAAGGTCCAAGATCAGTATCGGTTGTTCTTTGTTTATATTCTGGGTTCGTTTTGGCATTCCCCACTTTGCCTTGCTCCGCGAATTCATATCGTGCGTCAAACAGAAGGACACTCCCGGTACAGGTAGCAGCTATACGGGTTCATCACATTTCTTTAAATCATACAACTGTTGTAGCGCAGTTTGAGCCGAGAACCAGTCTATCAGAGACAAGACGCGCATGCCACGATAATTAGGTAGAAAACGATATATAACCCCGAAGACTATATAAATCTCGGCCATCTCACGTCGGGGAAACAAAGAAGAAGTTACAAATATAACAATTGTACCCATGTAGGTAATCGAACCCAAGTCCTCTGTTGACGAACAAAGGCTTTAACCACCAGGCTACTGGATCGCCCGTTTCGACAAAAGCATTTAACATCACCGTCAGTGGCCATTGTCAACAATGGTGGAAACTGAGTAAACGGAAATGACGTAAATATATTTAAGAGGTCATATTTGTATTCTGTCTGTGGTATCAAGTTTATTATAATTTATATTTGGCTATAACGAAATCATTTACGATGCATACGATACATTGTACCTGACGCTGCTATTAACATAAATTGACCTTCCCACCCAAGGCTTATTTGGAAGAACATCATAACACGAGACATTGGCTTGATCCCTTTCAGCTTTTTTCAATGAGTAGAATAGAGTAATTTGAATTTTTGGATAAATAGATTCATCAATGCGTGAAAACGTTAAAGAATGACGAGTTCTACTCAAATTACAAAAGAATTAGACCCAGCAAACACAATATGATATGTATTATCTGGTAGCCTGGTAACTTAATATACTAGTATACTAATACTCGTCTTTCCAAGGCAAGCGTGTCCGCTAGCATATATCAAAGTATAGTTTCGACCTGTGCCACATCAAAACCATTTTTCTTGGCTCGAACCTGGCGTCAGCTAGCGTAGTTCACGAGTTGTGCCCCTTGTAATGAAAATGCGATATCCAATCATTGCTGTTCTTATCTGGTATAGCTTCACAAAGATTGCAACTACCATAGGCGACATCCTAGTCGATCATATAACGAAAACATTTGCGATTTCATCCCATTACACAATCGTTGAGGGGTTTTAAATATGAAAAAGACATATTCGTGTATTCAAAGACAGGCAGCGGTAAATCACTTTCTCTTTCATACAGTCGTGGATGTTGATTTTGTGAAGCGTTCTCTGATTTGACCATCGATATGTGCGATAGTCCAATCATATTTAGCATAGGAAAGTGGGTTTGTTGTGGCAAGGGTGGAAACAAGACTTTGATAAAAAGGCTACTGGACGCTCTTGCCTCGGGAATATGACAAATAAGGCGCACACAGGGATCAGATCTGACATAATATAATTCTTCCCCCTCGATTGGTCAAATATTCGTTTTCACGTCGGCATGGGCCAATAAATCTCCCAATGATCTTGTCCTCTGGCTCACGGTAATGTCAAAAGAGGTGCTCTTTTGGGGTAAGGTCAGGACTCATGGATGGCCGTTGCATTCTGGTGATGTCTTGCTACTGGATTTTTTAAAACCTAACTTCTGATTTTTCGACCCTGGTGTTATTGACCAAGAGCGTCCTAGTTGGCCGAGCATTAACAATTTGCGTCTGCAGAAACCTGTTCCAGATTCTACAAATCATAGTGTGAGACACATTGAACATACTAGCTACCTCTCGCTAAGTTCTAGCAGTTTGCAGCATGCCAACGAAGACGGCACATTCTTAACCTGATCCCGAATACTTCAAGCAAGAGTAAAGCTTACGTGTTACTGTGAATAATGAAAAACAGCAATTACCAATGGCTTTGAGACATTTGACGACATTTCACTGGAGAGTTAACATAAAAATTGACCCCCTGTCTACGTGCACGGAGGAATTGCATGGTCCGCGTGCAATGTTTCGGGTGTTTTGGGATGTTAGGTTTTAGTTCCGAAACCGTTCTGGTTCTGACAGTCATATGTCAAAGCTGATGTTTCTTCTGACGACAGAATGTAACATCCACATTTCATGATCCCCTACTCTTTTTGGAGCGTGTAGATTGAAACTAGATATATTTACGCATGATTACGAGTGTCACAGGAATAACAACCCACGCTTTCATTAATATTCATAAAAAACCCAACTGAAAACAGCTCTAAAATGTTGAGTTTCGTCATTTAAGACACATTCAGAGAAATAATCCACATTCACGTACATGTACTTCTAATTGCCCTTTCAGTTGGAGAAGGAGTCGTCCCCGTGATGTTTCACGGGAAGTGCAGTTTGACGGTCTGCGGCAGGTGTTTAGCGTGAATATTGATGAGACAACTTCCTCAATAGCAGATAAAGATAAACAATAACATATTTGAGAGGCTCTACTCACAAAATATCAAAGACATATTTCTGTAGAATCATAATTATATATACCTGATTTTTCCTTTATGATGGCTCTGGATTATATCCTTAAGTTGAGTTCTGAGGCTGAATCTTCAAGGGTAGCCATGAATACATAGAGGATATTTCAAGTGTCGAGTTTCTTTCACCGAGTGACGGGAGAAGGGAGTA